ATTTTTAAATTTTAATAAATATATTATATACATACATATACATATATTTTTATGGATTTCCTACTATGCAAAATTATATAATAAAACAAAGGCATATTACTTACCTAAATCAAAGAATTGGTAACAAAATTTATGGTTATTTATATTATGCTATATACATTCTGAACGTCATTTTTAATAAAACAAAGATGTCAAATTTAAAACATACATAACTCAGTATTATTCTTTTGTATTAACAATAACATACGATGTAATCACTCACTGATTTACAATAATCAAAAGAAATTGAAGTATATTTAACATAATGTTTTGAATTTTAGAAAAATGATTACAAATGATTTGTACTTTAATTTCTCTATATTTTACAAAAGTTAAAATTAATAGTACATATTTTACAATATTCATTGATATGGAAATTGCATACATGTTTACAGGAATTATTTATGGAAATTGTGCAAATGCTAGGTAATATAATAAAAAATTCATAATACAAAACTTACATCACGAAATTGAACCAGGCCAAGTTCGCCAAGTTCTGATACACAGGCATAAGCAGCTTCACTTTGCAAAAAGAGTTGACACAAGGTCATCTCTTCGCTTCGAAAAAGCGATCCCATATTTGATTTCTCCGAGATCGTAATATGGAGAGGTTAAAAATAATTACAAATTATCGAAAAAATGAAACTAGTCCTTGCGATGTATCATTTAAAAACAATAAGAACAAATTGATAAGAATGTACGCTAATTCGAAGCAACTTTCCACTACCGAATATTTAACGGACACACCGACTTTCTGATTGCGATTGCAGAAGTAATCAATAGCGTAGTCACGAGGTAAGGTGGGCATAAATCACAAGCTGACGGTATGTCGCTACTTACATTTTCAGTTAACGCCCAAAAACTACACTAGCGACAGTTTAAAAACTATACGTAGTTCTCCATTTCCATAGAGAATAAAGTAATAAGATTCGTATACGTATTCTCAGTATTACATATTGCTTATAATGTCGAATATTATTAATTTATTATTACAAATATTGAATTATAAAATAGAAAAATCTTAAAGAAATACTTCACTTTTAATAAAAGTAATTTTAATATGTATGAAAATATGGATGTTACCTACATAACCTTGTTCTTATGAACATGTAGTTCATACATTTGCTACTACACGTCAGCACATGGTGTTTCTGGTAAAGCTCTCATTGTATTAATGTCATATGATCAATTTGTGAGTTAGTATCGAATTTTTGGGAGTGTCTTGTTTTTATGGTTATATCTTTAAAACTGAAAATGTTAAAACTATTTTTGTGTTTCATAATTGCTTTAACTGCAGGTATAAGCTTCATGTAAACTTTAAAACAATATCAAAATCTAATTTTATATTATTCAAATAATGAATAACACTCAAGAATTATAAGTGCTATTTTCTATTATTATAGTTGAAGCAAGTGGAGATTTTTTGGTTCTTCATAGTCCAAACAGTATTTTATTCAATGGAAATGAAGAAGTGGAACAAAGCTTACTTAAAGAAGTATTAGCTGCTGCTTTGGGTTTTACTGTCAAACTGGTGCATTTTTAATTTGTTTTTCATATTTTTGTTCTGTAAATATTCTGTATTCTAGTAAAAAAAAAAGTATAGAAAATGCAAAAAATTAAATACAAAATTGTATCATTAAAGATTGTAATATATATTAAATTTTAGTTGCATATTATTATTATTGTAGAGAGGAATATGGAATGGCATGTATATCACTGATCCATTTAGCCTTCCAGAAGCTGTTGTTGCAGTAGCAATAGAAGGAGTAGATTCTTTAGATATACCAAAAGGCAAAAGATTTCCTTTAAATGTTAATGAAGTTGAAGAAACTACATGGCAAGCTCTTAGAGAACGTCTTGAAGTGAGAGATAATGATAATACATTAGTGAGAATATCTTTAGGCGATGGTTTGGATGCTGTAAGTATTATGATAAAATATCATTTTTTGGTGAAATAATTAATGTTTCAATGTACTAAAATTATATATGAATATCTGATATGTTAGAGTTGCATACATTTTTTTATTTATATTCTGTATTTTGAAATTATATAATACTGATGTATTTAAAATATAAATTCATATTTTTTATAATACCAAAATGCAATTCAAATAATATATAATACTAATTCAGTTAGGACAATCTGCTCTTGGAGAACTAAAACCTACACCCATTGATGAAACATCCTTAAGAGCACTAAGTTTAAGCAAAGAAGAAGATAAAAAATTTCTTGAAGAAGTGCAGTTACTCCATGCTATTGCTAAGAAAGCACCTTCAGCGATTAAACCAGATTCAAAGTCTGATATTTATTGGCTTGTTGTATCCGGATTGAAGCCTGTTTTTGATCTTTATGGGAGCAATTCAACTACTTCTAAGGAAGCGTTATCATTGCTGAATAATGGGTTAAATGTTATATCGGATGCATTTACTCAAGCTTATGATGGTCAGGTACGAATTTATTATTCTGTGTAGTTAGTTTGTTAGCATATATTTGTTCATATAAAATTGTTCTATACTTATTACTATTTAATGATCTTTGAATATTTAATATATAAAGAGATTGGTATTTTTTAATGTAGGTATTGATTGTGGCCTTCACGAATGATGCAAGTAAAGTACATCATACCCGTTCAGTAACACTAGAAAGGCAAAAACGAGATGCTTCAGATGCGGTTTGTATTTAAAACTATATAATATGTAGAATAAATTTATGGTTATGAAAACCAAAGAATTTAACATACTAACCTTAAAGTGTTTATAGATGCAATAACATTTTATACAAAAATTGGAAGAAATTATACAATATTTCAATAATTATATATTCATTTTCATATATTTTCCGTATAATGTAACAATTAAAAGGTTATATAAATTCATATAATAACCCATTTAATGAAACAGTTTCCTGCATTTGTTAATGCATGTCAATGTCATTCAGTATAAACTAAACAATATTATGAAGGAATTTGGACAACACATTAGTTGTAATGTATTTGCTATAGCATATTTTAGCTTCTGAAGAAGCAGTTGATTGAATCTACCCTTCTCTGAAATACTGTACTTATTCTACTTATCTATTGGTTTGGATATAATGCAAATTTGTCTATAAAAATCATATGTAGAAAGTTACAATATTAAGATATTTTATATCAGATTATATATTTGTTATTATGAACTTATAATAGTGTGCATTTTATGATAAAATACATGACTATCTCTAGCATGTACATGTTAATAGCCAAAGGTTATGTTACATGTGACAATTGAATTTTACGATAGAAAGTTCTGAAAATATTAATAATAAATATTTCTAATTTTTTTAAAAAGTAAAAAAAAAACGAAATTATTAATAATAATAATAATAATATTAATAATAATAATAATAATAATGCAATGAAGGTATGTTCAAATTGTTGCATGGACAAATATTTTACTGAAAGTGAGAAATGTACTTGAAGTAGAATTAGCTTCTTGCATGTTTTTCAAACATGTTAATGAATTATGCAATACAATATTTATTACTCAGTAATTACAAACATTTTTTTGTTTGATATATTAAATCATCAAAAAATATACAACATTTCATTTTACTACAGAACAGTAAAACACAAATTCAAAATTCACATGGAACATACCTGAAAGAAGGGCATATAGTAATCAAATCATTGATTTAATTTAAGGGAGAATAGTAGAAAATGGTCCAATTTATTGTTCTTTCCATACTTAAAATTTTAATGAGACCTAATTCTATGAGTTCTAAGGAATTAGGAAAGCATAATTATTTACTGAAAATATGATGGAAAAGTTGTATAAAAGGACGGCAAATTGTTGACTTTAAATAATCATAATTTCTAAAGGAATACACGAAGTGCAAAAGTTCGAATGTTATTTTGTAAATAAAACATTATATTTTTATAATATGTAAAAAAAGCAACATGAAAAAATCAATTAACAACCAGATAAAGCAATGAATTAACGATGCAAATATTCAGGAAAATGTGTTTATAATTTTACTTTAACTGACTTGTAAAGCAGAATGTCCTTGTTATGTATTATTTTCCTCTTCTTCAAATGGTGGTTCTCCAGTAATATAATCATTGATGAAGTTTGCATGTGAATGTATAAAAGGTTGATGTCGAACAAATCCAAAGAACCATAATATAGTTGCTACAAACAAGCAACAATTCATGTGTTAACCAACTTTACATCCATAAATATGTCCAATAATTGAAGTAAGTCCACTTTTAGTTTTATTTAACGTTAAATAAACAAAATACTTTAATGTGTTGATGTAGCATGAGTGTAACTGTGCTTCAAGTAGAACTGAACATTGACTGAATCTTGATCAATACAATATTCGCGATAATTGATGAGTCAAGAAGTTGTTTCTCTTTGTAATATGAAGTCACTAAATTGATTTACGTGGTCAGGGTATTATTCCGGAGCTTTTTTTATTTGATAAGGTGAAAATGTGTATAAACAAAGATCATTAAGACTCAGTTGAAGAAAGAAATCTAGTGACGTAGCTTCGATGTGTTGACATTGCGACCAATGTGTATTCAAGCTTTTCTACTAATTTTGACATATAATTATTTATGGTTGCTTATTGGAGTATCCTGTCCATAATAAGTTGATCAAGATGTGATGTAGTTACTGGTTCAAATATAGTGTTAAGTAGAGCACAAGAGAGTTAAAAATAAGAAAATAGAGAATGCATTGTGGTGTTCTGAATAGTTTTATTAACATATTTATAACGTTGTTTTATTTTTCTAGTAATTATTTCTACACTATTTTGGGACTTTGTAATAAGTTGTGATTGGTTACACGTTACATACTCTATGTTGGTTGATTAATTATTAACAATTAAGTTGATTAGTTACATGTTATATGTTGCTCAATATTCCAATAGTTAGCTAAATAGTTCTTCTCAAAGTGTAACCATGTCATAAATGAAAGAAAGAATCAAGTTCTTACATAATGAAAATGGAGTTATGTTATCATAGTGAACATGACACTTTCCCTATGGCAGAGGCTGTCATTGCTTGAGGCATAAAATAAACATTTCAAGCTGAATCCACATGTGTATACCTGTCAAATTATCGACATATGTATACAGTTACGGTCATTAATTTCCGGCCACTATTAGAAGAGTATAACTTTTTTTAAATTCGATCAAATGACTTAAGTTTTTTAAAGAAGTTAGAAGGATTAGTTTACTAGATGACGTGTACAAAAATTTTTGAAAAAATTGTAATTTGTGGAAATCACGAAGAAAATTGTAAAGCTTAATGTTTACAACTTTTTTATATGAACTTGTTATGAAAATTTAAAACATACGTTTTGTATGTCAATTATATACATGCTGAAAATTTCATCAAAATTGGATGATGCAGAAACAAGTGATAGGCATCGAAAGATGTAAGAATCTTTAAATTTATTGCAATTATAGGCCGAAAGTCGTGAAATAGTGCGATTTTCATAATTTTTAAGTCTGTAGTTCATAGCAACGTTAACCGATTTTGAAGAAATTTTCAGCGTGTATATAATTGACAGATCTACAAAACGTATGTTTTAAATTTTCACAAGCTCAGATAAAAAAGTTGTAAACAGTGATCTTTACAATTTTCTTCGCGATTCTCACAAATTGCAATTTTTTGAAAATTTTTTTGCACTCGTCATCTAGCATACTAATCCTTCTAACTTCTAAAAAAGCTCAAGTCGTTAGGTCCAATTTAAAAAAGTCACACTATTCTAAAAGTGGCCGAAAATTAATGACCGCAACTGTATTTGTCGTTAATAATTATTTAACTGGAAAACCATCATCTAAAAAAGAGAAGAACAATACATAACACCTACGTTCTGCTTTACAAGTCAATTAGAGTAAAACTACAAGCACATCTTCCTGAATATTTGTATCGTTAATCTATTGCTTTTTATGGCGGTTAATCAACTTTTTTTATGTTGCTTTCTTACGTACAATGAAAATACAGATTTTGATGTACGAAAAACATTGGAATTTTTGCATTTTGTAACATTCATTAGAAGTTATAATTATTGAAAATCAATAACTTCCAATTTGACATCTAATGCACCTTTCCCTTTATCTGCTTTTCTCCAAATTTCCCATAGTATTTCCAGTAAATAATTATACTTACTTAATTCCTTGAAACTCAGAATAATATCTCATTAAAATTTTAGGTATAGAAACAGCAACAAATTTGGTCATTTTCAACCCCCTTCATTTGCACATAGTATGTACTAATTGCAGTCACTTACATACACTTATAAACAACAATTTTAACAAAAATTGGTTAAATACGTACCGATATTAATTTTATTTTATTAAATAACATAACCTTTAAACAGTTTAAGGAAATTTAACATACAGGGTGAGTCACGGCACCTAAATATCTCTGTTAAGAGTAAAGATAGGAGAAAATGATGTTGAAGAGGAAAGTTGTGCTGTTGAAGGGGGTAAACAGATCTTCTGATTGACACTATCTTCAAGGTTCTTTTAAAGGTCATCGATGGTTTTTTAAATGGGACCATATATTTTTGACTTCATAGCGTAATCACTGATGTCAAGACGAGTTCAACGATATAGGATATTATGACCTTGAAATTACCTTGGACTCAGAAATCTAAGTTCGACCAACGAAAATATTGTGGTGTGAAATTTGGTTTCTTAAACCATTAGGCTTCACTTATAGCAATAACGTGTGTGTTGTTAATGGAAGGCGATCTCTGAATGTACACTAACATGATTATCAACAATGTTCAGGTAGGTACAGTCTGTGATTGCCGTTGAATTGTTGCGGTAATGTATCAGTTTATCGATATACGTTTAACAATGTATTACTAAAAGGAAAAGGAGATCGACCTGATTTTTATTTATCATGAAAGTCGTCAGTGCTTACCGGCTGACTTACATAAGCTGTCTGGCTGTACAAAGATCAATTTCCTGATCGTAATGGTCCATCCCTTTCTAGTTATTTATATTAAAAAGTTTAGTGAGCGTTGAAAGTAAAGTGGTAGCGTTGAAAGTAAAAAACTTGTGAAAGTGAGAAGTGCAACACATGAAGCAAATGCGGTTAGTGTTCTTGCTGCAGTAAATGTAAATTCTCACGTAAGCAGTAGACAGCTCGCTCGAGTAAGTGGCGTTAGCCAATTAAGTATTGTGCGAATACTAGATTTACACAAATTCCACCCACAAAATAATTAGGTCTTATACATCTATTTCATCGGAAACGGTTGAGAGGGTACTTCAAAGTCCTGCAGAATTTTTAATTACTCAAGGTATTGTTTAATTTAATCAAAATTTGATTACACATTTTAAAGTTGTCATTACTTAATCATAAAATTTTTTTCATCCAAAGTCATTTCATAGTATCCTATATTGTTGAACTTGCCTTGACATCAGTTACTATGCTATGAAGTCAAAAATATATGATGTCCTTTAAAAAGCCATCGATTACCTTTAAAAATCCTTAAAGATAACGTTAATCAGAAGATGGAAAATTTCCATGCCACGAATATAACATCTATGGTATAATTTCTTTTTACATAATATGAAGAGATGTCTCTTCTTTCGTACAGATATTCGAAGTGAAATCTGATAGAGTGATGGGATGCTATCAAAATCATTATTTTCTCTCGTATTTCTTTGTGTGGTTGAAACATTGATTTGTTTGTACTAACATATTTTCAAAACGAAAACATTTGACTTTTAACCGATTAACTTTATTAACCGATTAACTATATTATATTAACTATATCGGTTGTCTTATTTTCAATTATTTGTGCAGATAGAAGTTTTAAATCAAGATAATCATTGTAATTTTTTTTACAATCACGAAGGTTTTGATTTAGTTTTTGTCGATTTAGTTTTGTCGTTACATTTATTCATTTATGAACACAATACATCAATAAATGGGTACATCGGCTAACGCTAATGCTGGTGGCACGTAAAACTTAGAAGCTGATATCTCGATAATAATTTACGCGAAAACCACAAGTATGCAGTGTTTTGAAAACGATTCGATGTCAGCTATAAGAATACATAATCAAAAATGTACATTTCCACTTAAAAACTTAAACGTGACCTTTACAGGGCCTTTCAAGATCATTGCAAGGTCAAAAAAATACCAGAACCTATATACCTCCTGTCGCCCTCTATACCCTACAACTTTCGTTTGAAATATTTTTTTGTATTACTCGTAGTTTTTGAGATATTTCTGTGTTTTGAGATAAACCAGACATACTGTATAAGTAACCACACACAGGTCTCTGCTTCGAATGTGTGATATCGTTTGTCTTTTGCATCAGTCACATGTGTGTGGGTTTGGCTCGTGCAGATAGTCAATTGCAAATCAAGAAAGTGTTTGAATATCCGAATCAAAATCGAGCACGTGAAAAGGGATGAAGGAAAGATAGTGAGGATAGGTGGAAAAGGAAAAGTAGAGAGCGTTTCATCTTGGGCCTCATAGTGAACTCGTTACTAAGGCTTTCTAGGATGTCCGTGCCTTAGACGCGGGAGGGACTGGAAGGACTCAGGTCAGAAGTTATATATATACAAACGGGAGCCTTTATGAGGACTAGCGAGAACTCGTGGTTAGTTCGTCCCTCTGGTGGCAGAGCGTAGAAGGGTCACTATACACGTATCTTTACACTCGGGTATTCGAATCTAAATTAACACTCCGACAGCGACGCCTGGATCCATTCGGACCCCATACTGTAAGCGTATAACATTTCGCTTCATCGGTACTGGAAACCGAGTGTTATATATGTAAGGAACCGACGGAAATATTTTGAGGAACCCAACGGGAATCGAACCTGGGACCTTTGGGGCATAGCAAGCCGAGGCTTTGTGCACTACGCCAACTACTCCCTCTCTATTTTCCCTTGTCGAAAAATATTTTTTTTTTATTCCGTATTCTATTCTTATCGCTGGCCATTATTATCCATACCATGACTTGTAGAAATAAGCAAACACACATAATACGATACGAGCCTACGTTGGGGTCCGAATAGACCCAGCACCGCCGCTCGCATAGTCACCCGACGGACGGCCCGTCGTCCAAGTGTTAAATAAGTATCCGGATATCCGAATATAATTTTTATGGATATCCAAGTACTCGGATACTCAAAACTCGGATATCCGCAAATCCGAGCAATAATAAGAGCCCTTAGTCATTGTCGACCAACGTGATATACACTATCTTTGACCGGCAACGTTAGCTTTTAAACTCGTGTCAAAAAAGTCACATCACGATTAATGGGTCTGTAAAATTTTTTGCTTGAAAAGGTTAATACAAAGGTTTCTTAAATAGGAAACCTCTGTTAATTTCTTCCACGTGCAACTGTTGACCCTTCTACTTATAGTCCAGGTTGTTGTCTACTCTTCTAGGAGAAAAAACAATCTCTTCAACGCTCGTATTGCGATACCTTTTCGACATTTTTGTAGTTGCGGACTATTGTAACGAATTCCGCTATATTCCCGCAGTTCGTTTTTTTCGTTATACCAGGCACCACAAGTAAAGACGTTCTCTTCCTAGAGACCTTCCAGAAACTGTGCGAGTTCTTCTATCGCCTGGACTGTTCCCGCAAATCGACCGGCACCTCCCTCATTCCTCCGCCCGTAGGCTTGGCGGTGCCAGGGGACCACGCCCGGCCTCTCGCGGCCGTAGATACCCTGACCAGGGCGTTTCGGCGCCCCGGTCGTGGGGGGGAGGAACTCCTCCCCCACTTCTTATCCGGAGGACCGGCCTAACCCCTCCGCCGGGCCCTCCGGATCCGCCTCCGACCGCTATTTATCAATATACAAGTGTGAGCAGAAGCAACAGTTTATATGGAATCTTTAAATTCATTCTTCTCGAAAACTAAGCTTTTTATAAAAAAATGTTATTCTTTATTTTCAATTTATTTTTACGTGTAAAATCATCCCATGCCCGGCTGTACCACTTATCCTGCCTCACTCTGTATATAACTATAACATATTCAACATATAACAAGAGTGTACTCAAACAAAAATTCCTTATACTTTATGCAAAATTGATAATTTACTCTTTTGGTATTAATTATTAAAATTATTTCTATAAGATACGCGACAAATTGTATGTAGCAATTCAACAGCATTATTACTTAATATTATGACATCAGAATTTCTATCGAGGGCATTATAAATTTTTCCGAATTTAATTTGTGAAAGATATATCTTTGTATAATTAGGATATAGCACATGATTATTATAGAATACGTATTACATTGAATTGCTGAAGTATTTTAGTACGCAAAGAATACGAGTTTATTTACAAAAGAAAACATGAATAAAAGTGACGTTAAGGAGAAATAAATAGTTTTATAAAAATGAGTATTTTCATAAAGTAGTTATTTTATCAAAAGATTAAATGTTATGATGTTACATTTTCACAGTAGTCGTCATAGTAAGTTAAAATGTCGAGGTAACAGAAATGCAAGCAGATTATAAGGTGATGAATAAAGTTTTGCTCTAATTTTGTTTTCATTTCATACGTTAATATTAGCAAACATATCTTATATAAAATACAAGATCGACAACTACTGTGACTAACTTAGATTTGGATTATTTCGAGTTCTGCAACATATGTTGCTTACATAAACACATGTACTTATAGCAAGACGATCAACGAGGTGAAAAGAAAAATGTACAAGGCGAAGGAGATGTAACTGTGGTAATAATAGAACCAGAAAATATTACTAACGAATTGTTAAGTGAAATAATCAATTCTACTGAGAATATTGAGTCGCCTTATGATAGTGGATTCAGTGATCATGATCAGAATTTGACTAATACGGAACATATAATAAATTCCAACACACAAAGTATAGGACAGGTATGGCAAACAGCTTAACATGCATTCTAACATTTCGTTTCGCATATTATTTGAAAAAGTATACGCATTGTATTTAGTCAAAAAAAAAAAAAAGAAGGGGATTCGCTTATTGGAGGAATGATGAATATATCTCGTTTATTTTAGCAGTATATGTTTTATAATGTAAGGGAATATACTTTAGCTTTTATATTTTGTTAGCATAACAATTATCACATATTTTATTATTAATAATTGTTTCGTTGAAAAAAAAAAAACATTGGTATTATCTCATGTATGCTTTCATTGAATTGTGTACAATTTTGATAAGTGTATTATTACATAAGATGTTTCAAATTAATGGCATAATCTGAAAACTGCGATACGTAAGGTATCTAACAAAATTGAATTTTCCTAATTACAAATTGATGATTCTTTGCTGATCTTCAATTGAAAATTTGGTGTTTGAAGTATAAGTATTTAAAATGTTCAAATAAGACGTTAACGCATGTTGTTAAATCATTGACGGCCGTTCGAATGGAACAATATGTTATCGCGTATGAGAAGCATCGTTAAACAAACATTTGTGTGTCGCATTTCCGTGGACAGTACATTGATATATTCTGTCATTATCTTTGCAAAATTCTCTACACTTACACTATACACTTCTCTCACTTGTATGATTTTAAGTTGTTTTATCATTTAATTACGCAAAACATCTCCATTTCTATCACAACACCGAAACAAATATCTATTTACAACAATTTATTTTAGATTACGTAGATAAGGACACAGTAGTATGTGCATATGTTCAAAAAATGCAATATTTGTATGTGATGCGTATAAATATTTCTTTCTGAACATGTAGAATTATAGATGCAGCAATGCGTTAATAACGTTAATAGTTTGTTCAACTTGTTTCTATAATTTATCTAGGCCTGCAATGAGACTGAAGCGACAGTTGTTGTGATTACTGAAATCTAAATAAATATGAACAATACGATAATTCACTTTCGTGAAAATTATCACAATGAGAACGAAAAAAGGGAAACTAAGAAAGGTACAAAGTAAATTGAACAAATTATTAACGCATCGCTTAGTAGTGTTATCTACTTTAAGGGGACCGAAGAGAATATCTGTATCATACATATTTCTTTTTTAAAACATTATCCTTAATATGCTGACATTGGAAGTTCTTGTTCCTATATGCACTTTACATATGCACACAAAGTGTTCCATGCTTTTCCCAATACACCGTGCTAGCACGTTCTACGAATAAAGTAGGAAAAATATGTGATACGGGGTGTTCCAGTTTGTTTCCATCAAACTTTGTTAGTACGTTCTATGGCAGGCTTGGGCGACTGGCGGCTCGCGAGTCGTAGACGACTCCTCCCCCTATTCCTACCCCCCTCCCCCCACCAAACTCCGGTGGAGTATGGGAGGAGATTGGGGAAATTAGGAGTGTATATGTAGGACAGAGGCGCTTAACTTGTTGCTCACGAGCAAATTTCCCCTCCCGAGGTTCCCCCACTATGCGACTGAGGTGGTCTCGCTCGTCGAGGTGGGAGGAGCACGCGAGGAGTCCTCCCACCATAACTCCAGCGACTGCCTTTTATTACTGCCTGTCACTTAACAGCACAGCACATTAACAGCATCAGATCAACATCAACGTATTCGCACTATTGTGCGATCAAATGTGGATGCGTCCACCTATCCATAACAGCACAGCATCGGTACTCCGCCGCATTTGTCAAATATCTTTATTAAGTCATTAATATTATTATTGTCTAGTTATACATACATTACGTTTATCTACTTACACGTCTTTACTCTACGTCATCACTAACGGCTCTGACACGCTCGTCCGTGTTCCAAAAAGCAGTCGTCTCACACACACCTTGCATCTCGCCCTATGCCAATCACCGCCGACAAACGTTGGCGCTATCGAGTGCCGCTACAAAGAGCACTACAATGAAGCACTTAGAACTTATGTTTATGTAACATTTTTCCCTTACTTTCACTCGTAGAACATGCTGGCGAGAGAAACCTGGGACACCCTGTATGTCTTTATACATAACATTGTTAAGAGAAAATAAACAGAAGTACTTTCTGGGGGTGTGCCGGTGCCCGAAATCACTGACTCGTGTTAGGCTGGAATAAATCGGGTAGAACGTAGGATAAGAAACTAAGCTGCATAAAATTTCAGTTTCCTTCTCTCGAACGGTTTTTGAAATATTTGAAAATAATATTTCGATTTTGTGCTTATTTTAAAGCCAAAAGATTACCTTCTCCAAATACACAAGATAGGGCACGTGTTTGAATGACTTCAGCGAGAATTAGAACAAACGAATGTTACATGATTCGAAGGTGGCTATATAATGTACTACTCCTATTCAATTTTCCTTTACAACCGTATCTTTCAAGATCTTGTTTGAAAGTAAAGATAAAAAGTTTCTTGCGTATATGTAAATATCTGTCTCTGTATTTAGTTAAGTGTTCGGTTAACCAAAAAAGAAAATAGGTATGTATTATACGTCTGAACGATCCTCAAGTACTTAAGTCTTTCAGAATTTTAAGCATTTATATGTGGCACCAGTACTTTCTGGCTTTTGAACTGATCCTGCCCGACTTTTTCTTACCCAACAAATTCGGGCATCCGACGTACCAGATTACCCCCACATGCCTAGTCTATTCCATAACACTGTGCAGTACTGCACAACGAATGTACGAAAATATTCGTAACAGTAACAAAAACATATTGAGAACTTCAGAAATACGCTGCTTTATCTGACACACTTGCTTCTATGTGAATATATATTTAATTATAATGTCATGTTTGATGCATACTTGTAGAGCTACATGTTTCGTCGCCTGTTTTTCTAAGTGGTATGCATTGAAAATATATTACTTAAATTTGTATTTCTTAGATGTTGGAAATGGATTTCTAGATTGTAACATATTATAGAACTTAGAAAGTTTTCTTTCTTTTTAGCTTATATTATTAAGTTTGGCTTATACTATTTAGTGTTTCGTATATATCACACATCGTATAGGATTTAGGGAGAGGAATGATTTACTTAACATAGCAATTCGAAATTACTCATAAAGTACTCGTGTACAGAAACAAGTTTCCAATAAATTTGCTTACATATAGAGTAAAATGCTTTATATTTTTTTGCGGAAATTGAAAACAGAATTCGATTATTGCATCAATTTCGGCTTTACTAAGGATTATTAACTTGCTCTTCGAATCATCATAAAAGGGAAAGTGCCCATCCTAAATACGTATTAAAAATGACGATTATTATTAATATGAGCAACAATATTCAATTTCAATTTTGACGCTGTTCGACCTTATATATGTGTTTAAAAAAATTGATCGAATGTGGTCCATTCCTTGATCTCTCCTCCACAACAGGACCGATCTCGAAGTTGCTCTATGTGAATTGGTCAGATAAACTCGAGCATGGAGCGATATTGGAGTAGTAGACCACACTTATAACACTGTGCAGAGATGAGAAGTTGGCTGACATAAAGCTGCATCCTTACTGAAGCAACAACGAGTGACTTTTTCTTGCTGTTCCATGTATCTTGACAAAATCAGCTCCTATCTCCTGCTTCCATTCCCAAAAAATGGGAATCACGCCGCAACACGTGGCAATAAAAACAAATGCTCCTCCAGTTGTAAGCTTTGTCGCCCGATTCACAACACAATATGTCGAGCGATATTGCTGGTCTACAATTTGTGTCAGCTTTTCGTATAATAGGATCGATACCATGAAGTAGATATTCTAGGTCTCCTTCATTTGTCCATCTGTTAATCTGTCAATGCATACATAAGCTGAATGCCTTCGAATTTAAGTCTAAACTTGGTCGAACTCAGACTTTTCGTTTCTTCTCTTTTTTACCACTGATAAGAATAAATGCTGCAACTGCAAGGAGCAAATCTTCTTCGGTCATCGTTACCAGCTTGGAAGAAACTGCCTTGCATGTGGACAACTTGTTGCTAGCAACGAATGTAGTCTTGAAATCGAAACAAAATCCAAATGTTCCTCGGATTATGTTGCTTCAGTGTGGACAGAGTGTTTCTATAAGTTGGTGTTTGTTGGAAATGTTTTGGAACATGCAGAAAGTTCCTCGTTGCTGCCATATACGCAGCTTAAGGAATACGGGTCTGATTGGTTATAGCGTGATGGGCCCACCTTCTCTTACACAATCACGAAGACAGGGCACATGCATTTTTGTTATTGGCCGAAACGGTCAATGTTAATCAAAGCGTGATGAAAAGAACAAGCGGGACACGTCAAAATTGAACGGGATAGATCGAAATTCGAAACATGAGCGTAAACGTGGATTCAGAGCGTACCCCCCTTGAAATGTATTCTTGAAATGTATCCACCGTAGATATAGAAATCCTACAGGGTGTCAGCGTAGGCTGCTAAAAACCTTAAGGTGGCGGCTTCAAGAGCGTCAAAGGTGGTGACAGGATGAACGAGCGGTATCCTATCCCTCTTGCACCTATGCCAGCGGTTTCCAACCTTTATGCTACTACGCCTCCCCGAAAAAACATTTCTTTCCGCGCCTCCCCACCTTTTATTTTTTTAATAGATACAATAATATAGACACGTTTTAATTTTTTATTAAAAAGTTTTGGCGCCTCGCAGGTTGGAAACCGCTGCCCTATGCTGTCTCGCTAGGCATTTTCTTATCTCTGCATAGCACTTACTTTGAGCAACTATCCTGTAGTGGAGCACTGTATGAATATAGTAGCGATCGCCCGGCCTGAAAAAGTAATATAGTGACCGTACGTGCTGAAAAAAGTACCAACGTACTAACACATGCCTACAGTCCGTCCAACGAGTGGAGTTGGTAGAAGTAAACAAACGCACGTGATTGGAACAGAAGCATACTCACACACTTCAGATACGGTAATACTAAAGCCGAGAAGTCGAAGCTGTCGCATGCAACCCCATGACTCCGGCCCACTAGGATCTTCACTCTAAGATGAGATACTACCTTCTGGCTCCTCCAGGACACTGCCTATCATGGATAGGACCCTTTCTTCCCTCCTTCCTTATTCTCACATTCCTTCGAACAATTGCAAATTAAGATCACCTAAAGATAAGGTACTCTCCTCGCGCTCCTCCAGGACACTGTCCATCGCGGATAACACCCTTTTTTCCCTTTTCTCTCGCATTCCTTCGACCAATCAGAAATTAAGAAAACCTTTTCCATATGCTCCTCGGAAAAGATTGACATCCCAAATATAATGTCATCTACCCAGAGATGCGCTTCGGAAAACTATCCCCACTTAACCTCCAACTATCCTAAGGGAGAACGGCCTTATATACAGACCCTTGGAAGGAGCAGGGTCACTTAGAAATTCTTGCAAACGAGTGTGGAACGAACCTGTGTTCATATTGTATCCAGAAACGTTGTAAAAAGTGTGAAATACGTAGCGTCGGTGTTTATTAACGCGTGCCACGAGGGCTCAGCAGACACGGCCCCCATGGGCGTGGAATTAAGATACGCCCAATGAACGCGGTCGCCCGAGAAGACCTTACACGGGAACAAAACGGACGCCTATCCTTGCAGAGACGTTACGGGTTGAACGGAGTGGCTTTCCAACACCCCTACCAATTCTCCAGATTGGTACCAGAGCTGTCTTGACGCAGCTCACCCGCTGGCAGCGTGGAAAAAGGACCACCTGACCAGCATGCGGTCTAACCACTGCTCCCTCGAAATACAGTAAAAACTTCTACAATCCAGAGTAATCTTAGGACAAAGCAAGCCCTAACAATGACCCGTGTAAATCCGCACCTGAATTATCGTTCACCAGCCAGTAGCTGGAGTCCCTTGCATCTATCACGTGCTTAACACGCGAATGTTTTGTTTACGTCTACCGACTCGATTTGTTGGACAAACTATACCTACGAGCTCACCACTACCGTTGTTCCCCACTCCATTCGTGATTGTCGACGTCACTTGCCCCGGCTGCTGCTTCCAACTCTGCTTGGAGCAACGAAAAGCTTCCTTGCTCCCGAAACGGCTGCCTGAGCAGCCTTGCTCTGCAAGATGAGCTTTTGAAAATGACGTAGCAACTTCGCGTACCTAGAAGAAACAAATGAAAATCATTTTCATGTTCTTGTTATAGTGCATAACAGATTGGTCTTAAGTAGTTGCCTGTTCGTATAATGATATTAAAAAATTTTAATAAATCTACCGACAGTATTACATTATGATATTCAACACAAAAATACAACAACTCTTACAAAATATCAATCATGTGTATTTTATAAATTAGAAAACGTTCTTCAGTAGTTAGCCGTCATTGTGTAAATAGCGTATGAAGAATAATTACAGTGCTGCATGGTACTATTCAAAGCTTGTAATTTTTTCATACTACGAGTACTTCACGAGTGATTTTAGATTGTCAGACTTAGATGAATTATGACATAGACGCATTATTAAATTTGCTGAATTACACAATGCTTCTTAGTAACATTTCGATACTTTAAGTTTTTCTTTCATTGTGCATGAAAATTGCAATGCACAGTTAGATCGTAGAATAATATCGTATAAGAAGAATGTAATAAAGTTTATTGAAAAAAGCAAAAGAAACATTTAAGGAGTGAAATGGTATTTATCTTAATTTTATTACTTAATCATAAAATTCAAGATTTTTGCAAGATTTATAGCAATGTATCAGCTAGAATTTATACAATAAGCGTAGAATGTTTTGTCTATCGTTGATAGTACAAAATCTGAAGTATGTTTAATAAAGACATTTAGCAATGAAAAATTTTGCTTCTACGGTGATGTATAATATTTTATACATCGAGTTTTTTGTTACAGATCCAAATCTACTCAATTGGCAAAAAATATTCGGAGAATTATCCTGTCATCTTTAATATTTTCTTATGGTTTGGAATTGTTTTTGTCTTTTCCCTTCTTGCTATTTGCAGTATGTAATCATATTAGTTACCATTTCTGAGATGGATCCTGGAAGAGATTCTATAATATACAGGATGACGTCCAATCGCATGAAGAAGGACAATTAAATGTAAATAAATGTTAATAATCTTCAAATTAAAAGGTATTCTAAATTTAAGCTGTACTTAATTTATCAACTTCGTTTCAATAAGCACATAAAACTCCATTCCGTAAGATACTTGAACCAATAGAATATTTCTTTGCACATTAGTAATATAATCAACCACTGTACCATGTTCATATATGTACAATAGTTGTAAAAATGAAATCGTCTGTTATAAATTGTTTAACAATAACGCCAATTAGTTAATATCTCTTTATTGTATATTATATATAACGATTAAACGACTAAGTCATATCTATATGTACCAATGTATAAAAATGTTCAAACAAGTTATTAATTAAGTCTGTTGTAAATGACTATGAATAATGGCAGGGCATATGTTCAAATATGAAGTTACATAGAATAAAGGAACGTAAATTAAATCAAACATTTTGTGAATTGCATTAATTAAATACTGTGTATATATTTTGCATCTTTAATTAACAGTTAGGTACGAGACATGTAAATAGGTTTTGCGACAAAGTACGGTAACGTGAGAAACAAGAAGACCACTCAGAGGTTAAAGGGCCATGAAACTCTTCGCGCACGATGTCAGGGGCCCTCGCCAACTGAACAGGACTAGTTTCGCGACGAGGCCTTTTTAATAATGAAGGAACCGACAAAAAAATTTTGAGAGACCCAACGGGAATCGAACCCGGAACCTTTGGCTTGGCAAGACGAAGCTTTGCGCACTACGCCAACTACTCCCTCTTTATTTTCCCTTGTCGGTTTCCTATTTGGGTATGGAGGCCCCGATACTACAATAAACCGAGACTTTTTTGCCTAAAAAAGTCAGTCACGATTCAATATCTAACGAAATCATTGCGCCTTGAGTGCTCGTATGATGTGTACGGGGACAACTCTCCAACGCGTATCGACTACGACGACTTGTGCCAGCCACGAGGATTAAAGTGCGCTTCAGCATCACCACCTCTTGCTTTCCTGGACTGAGAGATCCTATCAGCAACTATACTACGGTAGTAGATTGCTATTGGGAAGAGCGCAAGCGGCACGTCTGCATCCACCATATTGGTATCACCCTGGTATTCGTTAGTTCATGTTCCACTGCAGCCAGGCATGTACTGACTGATTCTCTAGACGGTGAGTTAAATCTGTCTTCGATTATGACTAATCCAAAAAAGTTTAAAATTGGCGAGTTGTCCTCGCCTGCTGTTTCACACATAGGAACTGATTACTGCAATGCTCCAACCAAAAACCGATTAGCGTTTTGTATTGTTTAACAGGCTCTATCATCGTGTGGTGCGATTTTTGCGGAAGTGCATCTGTTTCGTCGTGCAGGTACGAAACACGCGGGGTCTTCGTTAAAAGAGTATAAATATAAAAAAAATAGGATGGTATTTTTGGAAAATCGGATAGACATGTGTTGTACAATGCCTTTAAGGATATTCTGTCGAAATATGAAGCAAATCTGTCGATTAGTTTCTAAAATATGAGAGCTACGGCAGAGAGGGCAGTTAAATTAATAGCAGATTATAATAAATTAATAACGAAAGAATTGAAAAGAACTCTCAGAAGCGTGCAAAATATGTTAATCTCGATAATGTTGTATATAAGTGGTTTCAGCAACGAAGATGTCATCGTACAAGAAAAATACATCAGCAGTGGATGGTTGCAAAAATGGAGAAATCAATTTGGTATTCGACAACTTACGATGTGTGGAGAAAAGTGATCGCCAGACAGCAACGCTACACAATTCATACAGGATATACAAACACAGAAAATCCGTTCTTTTTAGAGCCATCGTGATGTACATAGTCCACGATATACCGAGCAACCTCCCCGCGGTGTATATCGGATAGCGCTAACGCCGGCGGCATATAAAACCTGGAAGCTGATATCTGAATAACAATTTACGTAAAAACCACAAGTATGCAGTCTTTTGAGAACGTCTCGATGTCAGCTACAAGAATACATACTCAAAAATATACGTTTCCATTTAACACGTTGACTGCCACGCCAGATTTACACGTTGCACCACAAGAAAATTTTCATTATTCTAAGCATAATTTATTATTATTACTTTTTATAATTCAAAATAATGTCTAGTTAGCTATGACTTTCGAAATTTTTAGTTGACGATATTTATTTTATTTTAATTATTCTAAATATTTGAGGCACTCCGGTCACTAATGACCATCATGGCCCCATCGAGGTAACAATCTTAGGTCACAGGTGAACAACGTGGCAGTTAATGTGTTAAATACTTAAACGTGTCCATTACAGAGCATTGCGAGATCAAACAAATACCATAACAATATGTCGCCCCCTATACCGAACAACTTTCGTTTGAAATGTTTTTTTGTATCATTCGTAGTTTTCGAGATATTTCAGTGTTCTGAGATAAACCGGACATACTGTATAAAGTTTAACAGAAAAAGAAAATTAAAATAATAAATTGAACTGTGCTACCACAGTATTACGTTTGCTCTCCCGTAAATTATGAGCATTTCAATTTTTTCCTCATTACCATAATGATCTATGATTTAACTATTTTTTCGGAAGATGACAAATGTATTAACTTACATCATCGAGAGCGATCAGTAGTGGATACGAAACGTTTCAATGTTTATAAATGTCATGCCAAAAGTCAGACCAATTCGATCACACAACACCGTGAATGTGTATGACAGTGTAGGATTTTTTTTTTAAATACATTTTTCCACCATTCCTCCTGTTCTAATGACAAAAGAATGTATGTTGCGGTGTATGCCGTATTTGTCCTTTTGTTCGCTAAAAGATAGGCGAAAAAAAATTATAGGATTCCATTTATGAAACTAAAGGTGACCTTGATAACTTTGAAAAAATGTCCTACGAAACATATACTACAATCAGCCTGTAGATTCCACTAAACCAAGGTATTTACAGAAAGAGAATTTGTATTGGTCCAGTAGTAAAGGAAATAATTAAAGAGATCAAGTTATGTTGTCCACCCTGTATAAAATATTTTTTTTTATTGATCCCAAACAAAAAAAACTCCACATAGAGAGTTATATGGCTTTACATTGACTTTTGCATACAATTCTTACATTATTGGTTTACTATTTCTCGAGGTGCTTGAGGTTTCAAATGACAATTGTAGAAAATTTAGTATAAAATGTTTATTAGTGTTCCTATGTCCCTAACTATTTTGTAATTTTATACAAATCAAAATATTAAGTATTCAGTATGAATATTATAGATACTTTAATATGTAACAGATAGCAATACTAAATCATAATTATAAAAATTTAAATGTATGGTAAAAAATATGAACACTATTTAAATGCATTAAAATTTATAACAATTGAAAAAGAGAGTAGGCTAAAAAAATGTTACACTTTATTGAATACTATTTTTGTTGAAAAATATTTAAACACATGGCAAAATATTTTAGCAGTGAATACTTAAGTCCATGAGCACTCTAAATTAGTTAGGCACACTATACAGGTCTGTGACGCACATTGCTATAGTGTTCCCACCACTGTTCTCGCCGCTAATGTCCGTATAAGCACGAGTTGCCTATACCTGCTACAATTGAAGGCACTTGTTTGTCATAATAATGCTGTAACGGGGTTTTACTTTTGTCTATCCTCTGCTTACAAGATTATAATGTATACAGCAGAGAACGACGAGGAAATCAAGAGGGCGTCTTGGCTCTAGGCGTAGATTCCGGGTTTATCGGCCGGAGAGGTCGATTGATATATCTGAAATATCATAAACGTTTTAAATAAACCTTTTTTTAACCAAGGTGTCCCGTAAAGAGTGTAACACCTGGAAATGGGGGGTTGCTGGGGTGACTCTGGACAACTTTTTCCTTTACCAAAATATTGGTTGAAGCTTCATTTTTGAATTATTATCGAAAAACACTGGCCAATCAGAGCACGCGTAGAGCCCGCGCCAGCCACGGGAGCACAGAGACTCACCCGCGCGCGATCGTGAACAAACGCACTGGCACAGCGTGGGAAGCGAGAAAATCACTTCTACTGTTTTCGACGATATTATAAAAAATAACTCGTTGCTACATCGTAATCGCAAAATAGCCAAATTAGTGTAATTTATGACACTGAGGTGGGTGAGGAAACGCCGTTACACTGTTTTCACCTCAATTTATTAAGATATACATAAGTGTGATGGTAGATGTACAATTCGCCCGGAAAATACAATCGTTTTATGCGTTAACTGGCCCTGCGGCAGCGGTTCGGCGGGTACGTCTCGCCGATTGGTGGAAGAAAAACCGCACGCTTCCTTCGATACCCACGCTGTGCCAATGCGTTTGTTCACGATCGCGCGCGGATGAGCCTCTGCGCTCCCGTGCCTGGGCGCGGGCTCTACGCGTGCTCTGATTGGCCAGTGTTTTTCGTTAATAATTCAAAAACGAAGCTTCAACCAACATTTTGGTAAAGGAAAAAGTTGTTCAGAGTCACCCCAGCAAGCCCCCATTTCCGGGTATTACACTCTTTACGGTACACCCTGTATAACCTCATTTTAGCGAGGTTCTCTTTAAGTGATACTTGCATCTACAAATTTTAACGAATAAAAGTGATTTTTGGTTTCTGAATTTACAACAAACTCGACGTTCGTTTTCACAACTGTTAAATGTTCTTTTATACTTATAATCATGCTGTGCATGTATAGAAAGTATAATAAAATTCGCTAGAATAAGCACAAAAGAACAGAGATTACCTTTTATCTCTCTTCTGCAAATTCTTGAAGGTTAAACCCCACCTTCACCGTCCCCACCCAAATATACTTTTAGTTCTCTATCAAGCTACATCTGCCGTTACGAAAGAGAACGAGTAATGGTTTCTTTCAACCTACGTTTAATCTGCTTTAATGTATGTACTTAAAATAGTGTTGATTTACAAACTTCCTGTCGCATAAATCATATTTTATCATTTAAGTTACAGTTGCTGTTTATCATGTGGTTCATCATTTCCAGGAAAATTTTGTTGCACATAAAACTTTATTTTATGAAAACACTTGTCGATGAAATAAACAGTACATTCAATTTCATACTTCCTGTTAGTGTTTCTTTTTTTTCTTGCTTTTTTATTTTCTGTAAGCGAGACCAATTTCAAAAATTCTTTTTATTAACAATTCCATAGGCAAATTTACGTAAAAGTTATTTTCAGCAATAATGTAGAAAATTGTGATTTGAGGAAATAGCGTCAAACGTTATGTTTACAGTTGCTATCATCAATATTTAAAACTTATTTAATTAACTAGAAATAATTATACAATATCAAATGTTAAATGAGATCATATCCAGTTGTCACGGTACACAAATATTCGGCTACCATATAAAAATTAGAATTTATGGCTCACTTATAATTAATGTTTGTACTTTTAATATTTTGTTTCATCACATATTTCGATCGTTCAGGTATACTGAAAATAATTGTTTTCAAATATATTACACTAGTACGCACTCGTTCGTTTTCCAATCTCTTTTCCAGTTGTTCTTTCCACCTGTATTGATGTTATCCTTAGACTTAAATCAGGAGACTAAGGAGAAGAATGTAATATCTTCGGGTAATGGTGAAGCAAGTACAGTCGAACTTTAGTAACTGAAACGTCAAGAGAAGAGCTAAAATCTTCGAGTTACAGAAGTTTCGACTTATCCAAATTTTTGAGTAAAAGTGATTTCACAAACGAAAATTCGACATACAGAAGCTTTGTACAAAGCTGAATAATTTTCCAATTGCAACGGCTTAAAGAAAGAAAAACTGAATTTTTGAACGTGAATTATTTATTGTATAAATATATAAACGTACTCAAAAGACGAATCCTAGGTTATTGTACTGTTATAAAGGAGTTGAAAAAAAGAAAGGAGATTATTGAGGATCTTTAGTTAGCGAATAAAGATTGACTCAATCGACTGCAGAGAAAAAAAAACGCTTATTGATAGAAATGAAATACAAAAAAACGGAGGCGAAAACCCGAGTGAAAAACAGTTACTCAGTTCGGGGTTGTCGCACGACTACTTAAAATGCGGAAGAACATTTGTTATGTACTCGGCATCGCCCCACGGTCAGCGGATCCATGGGCTTTTATGGCCCGGCCTGGGCCTACGTTAAGCAGAGAAACTCGCAGTGGGAAAAGTAAAAATTCAAAATATAATCTATTCTCAATAGAGATAATATCGATTGATTGGTTTCTGACGTTTTACGACACAGCTATAAACTTCGAGTTGCAGAGACAGCGGCGATAGAAGTTCGACTTATAGAGATAAACTTCGGCTTGTAGATGTCTGGCTGTTCTAAACTCGCGTTACAAAGGTAAAATAATGCATCTAGACATGTGGCAAATAATTCGAGTCAAAGTATTCTTGTACGTGTTATACTTTGCGTTTCGTATTGTTATTTCAAATTTCAAAGTTCCTCGACTACTCGTATTAATTGTACTTTGCACTAAAGTTTCTTTTAAAATGTTCAAATATTTATTTTCCTCCAATATGTCATCAATAAGAAGTTCCTTCACTCCGCTGCTGGAAATATGTACGTACAGCTCCAGACCATAATATTTGCTCCGCCGTGTTTCAAAGTGACTCGCAATTTTTTTGGATTCAGCTGAAATTTTGGTTTACGCCGCATTATACTTCGCCGATAAGAACCAAAAATATATTTATACTCACCTACAGAAATGTCCTCTTTAGAAATGAAACCTGTAAACGCTCGTGGTCGGATCTCAATGAGATACCTATCGAGCTTTGTAGAGATTGCACGTGATGTGCCGACTAGAGTTCAATATGTATGTCTCGAAGGACCACTCTTACAAATATAAGAGACTATGTAAATTATAATAACTCTTCTTCTATTATTCTTAGCAATTGTGTTCCCTTTACTATTGACTATTCTTAACTATCTCCTAAGACACGTTTACGCGTGTTTTTAAAGCATTGGTGATGGCA